AGCGCCAGCGCCGTGAGTGCTCCTACGGGGGTGGGGAGAGGAGAGGGGGGGCGAGGTCGCGGGACAGACGCGGCTGGGCTTGCGCTCACTCCCGGGTGGGCGGTAAGCAATGTCGTTGCCGTAAGGCCGCGGGGCCGTGCGGGGCTGCTGGGCGTCCTGGACGGAATCCCCGTCTCCGTGCGTTCAGGAAATACTCGTTTCCTAAGAAGTGTCCAGTCCCGTGCTAGAGCCATCGCTCCCTGACACTGCAGTCCCGCAGAGCGGACTGAGGTGGGGACAGCTGAAATGGTGTAGGAAGTGCCCCTGGAGCGTGGGGCGCTCAGCCCGGGGGAGGGAGGGGCGGGGCCAGCGAGGGGGTGGGGAGGGGAGACGGGCACTGGGCCTGTGAGGACTTGGGACCCAAGAGGCCGGGAGGGGGTGCTGGACGTGGGCGAGGGCGAGACCTGAGGCTGGAGACAGAAGCAGGCTGGTGTTTCAGTCTTGTTGGGGACCAGCAGGTCGCAATGGTTACGGCGCTGGACTCCCACCTGGCCGACCACGGTTCCAGTCCTGGATCCAGAGGCTTCAAACCTACGCATGACGCTCTCTAGAGAGCGCACGCCCCCTATAGGAAAAATCTTTAAGAAGAGGGAGGGGGCGCAGCAGGTGGCTTGGTGGTTAAAGACGCCTGGACTCCCGCATGGTTGACTGGTTCAAGTCTCAGACCTGGCAGCTTTCTGTCTCTCTCTTTCTCACTAATTCTCACTCTGTCCCTCTCTGGTCAAATTAGAATGAATAAGTAAATATATAAAGTTAAATAAAAATTATTCTAAAAAAAAGTTAAGGAATTTGGACTTTATAAATAGTTCCAAAAGGGCACAACAAATGGCATAGCAGTTTTGTCACTGGACTCCCGCATAGGTGATTACGGTTCGAGTCCCAGTCCCAGTGGCTTGAAACTCACATGGGGCACGTGTGTGTACATGCCCAAGAGGAGAATGGAGGACAAGGGATTGCGGCATTCTGTTCTCTCTCTCACTGTCTCTGTCTCTCTCCTCTGTCAGTGCACTTGCCCTAAGTCTGAAACTTCTTAAAAAAAAATGTTCCAAAAAATTGATAAGAGTTTATGCAGGAGCCTAATATCAAATTTGCCTTCAAAACAGGGGTGGAGGGGGAGAAATGTCTGCTGACAAACAATGGCCATAAAATTGGGTGCAGGAATCCTTTCCTCTAATCCTGAGTACATCTTCTTCCTCCTTTCACCCCAGGTGCCAGGGGACAGCGCTGGACAGTCCAGACCTGCCTGACATGCCAGCGCAGCCAGCGCTTCCTCAATGACCCCAAGCACCTGCTCTGGGGGGACCGGCCGGAGGCCCAGCTCGGGAGCCAGGCAGGTAGGTATACAGGCACAGGTGGAGAAAAATGAGAGGACCCCAGAGGACAGGGATGATGGGGGATATGAGAAGACAGCAGGTTCTGGGATGCTATGATCTGTGTTAGTAAGAGAACTAACTCCACTCCGCTAATTTCCGCTCCTCTACCCAGATCCCAAACCAACACAGCCCCTGCCAAACACAGCCCAGCCCGGCCCAGCCCCCCTTCCTGAGGAGAAGCTGCCGCCTCAAAGCTCCAGTCACAAGTGATGGACTTCAAATAAATCCATTTTAATTCTATTTTATCTGGTGTGATTTCATTCTGTGATGTGTTAATTCTATTTCATCTGTCTCTGTATCTCTTGGTCGTCGCGTTTGCCGCCTTGGTAGTCCTGACTGTGCAAGGAGATCCTGATTTCCACAGACCACACGGCCCCACCGAGCAGCTCCCATTCACCTGCTGCGGCTGTGGTGCACCATCAACCCTGCCTTTTTTTTTTTTTTTACA